TCAATTATATGAAGCTGATGGTGATTCCGTAAGTGAGTGGACCATGGATCCAAGACAAGAGCGTGTGTTTGAGGATGAGGATCTTACGTGGCTTGATGTCGAGCTAACAACAGGGGCTAATGAAGAAGATCGACTTAACACTAGAGCGCAAAGGAGTAGAGGAGTTGCTGGGTCTAATCGCACTCACACATTAGCTTCAGAGGTCGAGGAGGAAGCTAACTCGCAGGAGACCGATGAAGAATAATACATGGAGGCCGTCGAGGATGATATTGATGATGCGCATGACGGCTCTCAAGATAACTTGTCTGATTGATATTAAATGAAGTTCAAATTTCAAAATTGACTCTCAAAATGGATGATTGTATTAAGTTATTATTTATTACCTATTAACTCTTCTTGAGCTTGACTTTTGATTTGTATTTTGTAATATCATTATTTTGTGCTTCTGGTTGTACTTATGGTTATTGATGGTTGTGCTTAATTACAGTTGTGCTTATGGTGCAAATTTGTGCTGATGGTTGTTGATTGTTGAATGCTTTATGAAGCTAGTTTCAAGTTTCTAGTTTCTAGCAGGGGATAGTGGATAACTAGATACATAATCTCCGACAGCTAACAATTTTGAAGTTAATCATTAAACTAAAATACCTACTATCATATATATCACCTTCAAATTTTTTTCTATACATTAACTTATTTGTTTAGATTTTTTAGAATTGTTTTACATTTATTGACCGCATTATCGCGATGCACCCGCATCGAGCCTCATCGCCGCATCGGCCCCCCACCGCATCAGGGCCGCATCCCGCATTTTAAAACACTGCTTTCGATTCATTAACCTTCTTAATGACAAAGCTAGAGTTTTTCTTTGGTCAAGAACTCACACATCTCTATCTCTGTACTGGTGTGATGCACATGAATAACAACTCCCCAGCTTGATGTTGTCGTTTCTTACTATGGGATGATTCTGCTTCAGAGATGGATCTACAAGTAAAATTCTTTCTCTGCCCTTGTCTTCACTTATTCGGTCTACTCCCCTATCCATTTCATATTGGCTTTAGGGTAGTCAGTTACTCAGCTCTTCTCTGCATTCATGCTCCCATCAATGTTGTCGTGCATCCAACCCATAATTATGATCAACATAGCATCATAACGTTCCCACTCAAACTTGTGCTCCGATTTAAGTTGATATCCACAAAACATTGCGCAAAATTCATTGAATACTGTATATCTCATTTTGTTCAATGGATGTTGTTACAATATTTGTTTATGCAACAACTTTTCAACCATCTTCGTCAAGTTGTTGATTTTCTTGTACATTCGGTCCAATTCGACGTTCCTACAGTCGTAAGCTCCACGACGAGCCATTGTAATTGTTAACCGTATCGTGGTCTAACACCAAATGATGTGGAAGGAAGACGGGAAATTAAATCCACCATCTTTTCGATCCCCTAACAAGAATTCCACTTCCTTAAATAAAAAATAAGAAAAACCAAAAAAAGAAGGCTTCTCTATACTCTACAAGTATCGCTCCCTCCCTCCCTCTGTATCCCCCAGCCCCACAAAAAAAAAAAGAATACATGAGCCACTTACTAACAGTAGTTCTCCCCTTAAGGTCACATTCCACCCCATTAACACCCTTCTTTAAGGTTACTTAACTATCCCTATTTTCTTGGAAATCATGTGATCAACCCTCTACCAATATTGATTCCCATCAAAATAAGAATATGTAGGAACCCCAAGTGATCTACTCCTACTAAAGGTTCCCTGCAAAAATAGGAAACCAACAAAATCTGAAAATTTAAGTTCAATCCTAATAAATAAAAATTGAACAACCTATCCACAATAATAAATAAAATTCTACTATAACCAACATCCAGTAATTCCTAAAAATTAACCCCAATAAAGATTATAAAGTCTACCCAAATCCTGGTAATCATTTTTAAAAAAAATAAATAAATAATCTTTTAATCAATCTAATTATTGAACATCTCAAATGCGATTTGCATCAAATATCCACCTCATGTTCATCTTCTTCAGGCACCTCATCATAAACGGGGCCTCCATCGAATACCTGCTCGACGCCCTCTTCGAAAACTCTCAAAAAAAGGTGACAAACTTCCTATTCAGTCACTGAGAAGAGACATTTCCAATTCCCAAACACTTAGGGGCTTGATAGCAATGTTGTTTGGTCCATTAGGCTGACTAGAACCAGCCCTGCCACCCATCTTTTGCTGCTTTTTTAACAGACCAGAAAGTGTAGAACCCTGACCAGCCCTGGTATTATCACCTTTTCCTCTAAATTTCCACCACAACTGCCCAAACCACCCTGGGCACCGTTCCACCTTGATGAGAGTCGCTTTTGTTCATCTTCAATTTAAAAGCAAGGATATACACGTCATCCAATGTCCAACAACGATGTAACACCACCACTTAGGGCCATTAACTGATGGAATTCAATTCCATGTATTCATCCACACTCCTATGTCCTTGACGGAGGATATTCATCCTTTCATAAAGGAATGGAAAAATAATTTTCATGTAGGTTCTTTTCCCTCAATTAAGAAATAATTTTTGGCTTTCCCATGTTTTCCTACTAGCCCAAAAGCTGTTCCCACCATACCAAAGCACCCATCTTTACGGCAATAAATTTCACCTTTTTATTATTGGGCACTTTTTTGTAACCAGAATCCCTTTCAACCAATCAATAAATTCTTCAGGTTGCTTACCATAAAAAACAAGGAATATCCACCTTCAAATCGAAATCCGTAAAGTGATGTATCCCATGTCTACGTCTTATATCACTTTCATCTTCACTCGACGCCTCACACAGAGCACGACAATAAAAAGGGTTGTACTCGACATCTTCTTGGTGAAAAGATCACAGTCTTGCCCATGATTGATGCGCGCGAATTGCTATGCAAGCTGCCTAACCTACCTCCTAAGATCCTCAATCTCTTCATCTCTAGCATCACCAAGTAGATCACCTCCTAAAATCCTTAATCTCTTCATCTCTAGCATCACCAAGTAGATCTACAAGAGATCCCCCTCTGTGAATTCATATTTTGTTTTTGGCTCATATCTAAAATTTGGTAAAAAGATGAAAGTTCCCTTATATTTTTTGGCACATGGAATAAAATAAACAGTATATTAGGTAAATGAGGCCTCGCATTCATCTTTTTTAGCACAACAATAGTATTAGAATTTTTATAATTTCTACATATCTAATTCGCCTCATATTTTGATGATGTGTACGGCCTAGTGAATTGCACCTAAATAAATAAATAAAATAATAATAAACCAAAATAAGTTTACTTTGATCACATTTCTGGGGTATTTTGGTCATTTTTATAATTATCTTTTTAAACTTTTTATGGGTGTGTGATAGTTATAAGTACATGGAATAAAATAAGGGGTATTTTAGGTAAATGAGAGCCTCGCATTCATCTTTTTTAACACAACATATCGAATTCACCTCATATTTTGATGATGTGTACGCCCTAGTGAATTGCACCTAAATATATAAATAAAATTAATAAATTAATAATAAACCAAACTAAGTTTACTTTGATCACATTTCAGGGGTATTTTGGCCATTTTTATAATTATCTTTTTAAATTTTTTATGGGTGTGTGATAGTTAATAAGTACACAGGCCCAAAATGTGAAGCGAATCCGATGTATATAAAAATTCAAACACCATCAAATAGCTGCGGCCATCTGATGGAATTTGAACAGTGATGAGCCATGAGCGAAGGGTTGTAGAGATTCGTTTATAGGTGTTTTTAAGTGTTTTCCAATATATGTGTGTGTGTGACACAGTTAATGGGAAACAACGGCAGAGGATATCATTCTTAACGAAAGCCATATGCAAGAAAAGCACAAACATCATGCTTTCAATATTAGTGTGGGACCCTTAAACTAGACAGAAAAACAAGTGAATGCCTTTCACATATGTGCCACGAACACCTTGAGTTTTGACACTCATTATGCAGCAGATAAAGCCATGAGTCACTCAAATGAAGAACAGAACTAAGCAAGGATCCATATCACAGGGACCATCATGCTGGCTAAGTTCCTTAGGGAAGCAGAGAAACATGGTAACTGAAGTTGCACACCTACACATGACAAGAAGTTTGTGTTCTGATATACCAAATCAACATAACTACGTTGATTTAAGATGTACTCAGAAACCAAGATCCAAAGCAACGCTCAAGCTTCAATGCAGTTGGACTCAGAAAACAAAAAATTGCAGTGTGAACTTTGAATAGACAACCAAACCATATCTGATGCGATATATCATAAATTTTCAGACAAATCATTAGCATGTTCATCTGACAGGAATGCTATACAATCCCAAAGAAAATCAGGTATCAATCACAATATTTCAGGCAACAGACATGGATTAAGATTTCATAGTCCACAAATTTCCGAAATGCAAGAGAAATAAGAGAAAATGATGTTCATTATTTTATATTGCCATAAAACACACCAAAGTGTACACTGAAAGGTCAAGTGGCACTAGAACTATTTCTGATGGCAATCACACACACCAAAGTTTTACACTGAAAGGTCAAGTGGCACAAAAAACAAATTACCTAAATACAGAACAATTCTATGCCAGCTGACAATAAGCAACAGAAAATATTAGTCAACTGTTTCCAAGTTAACAAAACATAAAATATGCAAAATTTGCAACAAGGGGGAAAAACGCTACCAGAAAAAGTGAAAAGTGCAATAAAATTGTAGAACTATAACAATAAAGCAATTGGAAATAAATCTACAGTCCAAAAACTAAAAAGAAACTAAATGGGAAACAACAAATAGAACACTACAACAGAAAGAGAAAGAAAACCCAATCGATAGTCATCAGTTTTTTTCTTTTTTTTTTTCAAATAAATCTACTCATTGCCAATCAAACAGCAAGCATCAAGCCTATAACAAATATCCAAACAACAAACAGCCAACAAACATTGACCAAACAAAGAACTGATATCAAATTACCTCTCTCAAGATATTCTCCAACTGTCTCAGCTTTCCATCAGTGCTCCCATGGCTGTTTCCAACTGAGACCTTTAACTCATCCACTGAGTTTTCTAGACGGCGTGTTCTGCTTTCCAATTGTGATAATCGAGCACTAACACCTTCTAAGGAATGTAGCAGATTATCAACATGTTTTTTCACTGTTCGATCAATCTCAGACACAATAGCTGCATCGGAAGCATCCCTCTCATGCTCTTGTGAGGCGTTTGTTGGTTCCTTAAGTTCCAGGGATCCATATTTCTGCAAGCGACACCCAGAGGAAATCCAGGGAAGTCAAACTTCCTTCCAACTATAAGACTAAAAAGTGATATCACTTTGAAGAAGTGTAAAATGTAGAAATAACATGAGGAAATACACACTTATGGCTAACCTCATATGAAGATTATGCTACCTAACATGTACAAGCATCTACAACAAGGCAATAGAATCTGGACAAGATTCTTTTTTTGAAAATTTAGCCAAAAAGGAAAAAACATTTTCTATACTATTTAACATATCATAGCAAGCATATAACTCCACAATCTTATGATATGCTATTTTTTCACCATGTTCCAAGTTCAATCCTGTCAGCGAACTACCCAAAAAAAGAAAAAAATCTAAGAAATATCTAAAAGAAGGAAGCTGAAAATCAGCAATAAGGAAGCATGTCCTTTGGAAAAACTAAATTAATTAGACAAAACTCAGAAGGCTAAAACTTATACCATAACCTGTGCACCACTGATCTCCTCTAACATTTGAAAATAAGCCATTCAAACCTTCAAAAAGCACCAAAGTGGATACGCTGAACAACAGTACTTCCTGAAAATTTCTAAACGTTACCCAAAACCTTTCTATCAGGAAGCATTAGAAGCAGTCACATTTTTTCGAAGGAGGTGAGAGACGTAACATTTATTGGAGTTACTAGGAAGTTTCAGGAACTAGGCCCTTAGGCCCTCTGAGTTTATGCTACCATCTTCGTCATTGCCCTTCACAAAACAGTATTGTTGCCCTATTCTTTCCACAAGTTTGTGGTAAACGTCTCAATTTGTATGTACTTTCAAGTAACAACTCAATGAATACATTCTTTTAGTTAATACAAAGTGAATTAACAAAAGAGGTGCTGGGTATGCATCTAGTTTCTTTCTTTGCAGACAAACAGAGACATGTACACCAGAAGAGAAATTTGAATAACGGAAAAGTAAAAACATACAGAAACCAAAGCTTAAAAATAAAAAAATACAGAAACCAAAGGGAGTGAGGAAACAACTTTGTAGTTTGGTGCCGAGCTTCTTCGAGTCTCCCACCAGGACACAAGGAAGGCCAACCTGGCGGCTGAGTCTCTAGACAAAGAGGGTGCTGCAGGGGGGGACCACGGCTGGCAGCTAGCACCATTTTTGTCTGCAGCACCACAATAAGACCCAATACCCACTATTTTTTGATAATGCTTTTTTTCTTTTTTTTCTTCTTGGAAAGGTTAACATTTATTTTTGATAATGCCGAAGCCTCTAACCCATCTCTTTTTGGGTTTTACTTAAAATCATGTAGAGCACCCAATATATTGGTCGGCTTTCTGTAGAGCACCCATCTTGTGGGTGGCAATACAATGATCTAAAGAATTACTAAAATATAGATGCATGTCAAGTTCACTCAAGACAAAAAAAAAAACAGAACAGAGAAAAGGAGTGGCACTGTACAGAATGTAGGTTGGAGAAGCAGTTAGGAATGGAAAGGTGCGAGGACTGGGCTCATTCCAAACTCAGCGAAGGAAATGCGCAGTGCTTTATATGATTCCAAATCAATGAAAAAGACAAAATGGAAGAGACAGAATGTGGATAATTATTGAAATATTTGATAATTTAAAAACTTAAAGAGAAAGATGAAAACATGATACCCAGTAGAGAGAGAAAGAAAGAGAGGGGGGAGCAAGCAAGCAAGAGAGCGAGAGAGAGCAAGATACAGAAATAGGAAAAATAATGGGAGCGAGTATGATGGATGAGAGGAAAGATTAGGCCTGCATTTTTAAGAGAAAAGATAATAAAGACAGAAGGAATAATACAGTGGATTCCTAGCCCCTAAATTACAACAACAAGCCTCTTAGGGCTTCAGCCTTGGATAGTTTTAAGTTTTAACCCTCACTAAGAGGTTTTACTGCCTTAAAAAAAAAAAATTCTATGAAAAAGGTCAAGACTCACTCAAGTCGCATGAATCTGGGATGAGACTCGGGGAAGTTGACCAAACTCATAGCTAAATCTTCAATGCCTCAACTAAGCCTTGAAGCAACTTGCACAACTCATCGTAGAAACCAAGTCAAGATTTCCGGTGACTCACCCAAAATTTAGCCAATTGACTCGAGAAGTTACTTTTCAGGATATGCAAAGGTAGAAACATGCGTGAGTAAGCATCCTTAGATGTGTAAACTCTTTTGCTAGTAATTTTCTGTTCAATTGATTGATTTGGTGAAGTGCAATTGTGTGAGAATATTGATCCAAATACCCAAGTATTGCTACAAAAGAGATCACCAAACAATCTCCTACCGGACATGGATTTATCATTACTAAACTGCATTTAAAAGCAATCATAATCCCCCTGAAATTTTACATGCATTAAAAGGCCCATATGTAACTGAGAACTCATTAGAATTCCTATTTACTTGTGTGGCATTCATGAAACAAGTAGTTGGTAGTTCTCGATAATTGGTAGATAAACACAGTAATCAATAAACCATCATTATTTTCCGAAAATCAGATGGAAACACAAAACTAATTCCTCCTGGAATACTTAAGAATTTTTCCATGGGAAAATAAGGAAAAGTAATATGGAATCCCACAAGACTAGGATACAAAAACTCAACTGCTACTGCGTTTGGCCCATAAACTTCACAACTCCCCTTATGAAAAAATAAAAATCAAAACTCAAAACACTAAAATTGAAAAGGCAAAATGCTTACAGCTCTGCAATGATCTAGGGTAAGAATTCCATAGGCCCTTCCACGATAACATCCAGATATCTCAATAAAGAAGCAATAAGTTACAGATACCGTCACAAAAAAAAAAAAGACACCCCAAAAATTAAAAACACAAAATCTTCACATGCATCATAACAAACCTACAGTTCCAATTTGCAGATGCCGACATCAGCATATCCAAATAAATCAAAGAATAAATAATAATTTAGAGATTTTCCCCTCCACAAGAAGAAATTAACCCTAATTTAAAAAGCTAGTCAAAGCATACCCAAATATTAACCCTAATTTAAAAGGGAGTGAAAGCACACCTTATATTAACCCTAATTTAAAAGCGAGTCAAAGCATACCCTAAAATTAGAGGAGGATTGGAGTTCAGGCGATGGAGGAGAAACTATTGGTCGTATGGGCTGGAAATCATAACTGGGAAGCATATCTTCTTTCTTTGATCCATTATGCTCTTGGGAAGGAGGGTTCAGGAGCTCAAAGAAATCGCTATTTTGAGACCCACTCAGACCCATTATCTGCTTGTCCATGAAATGAGAGGAATTCATGGAATAACACACAATCTCTCTCGTCCTTCAATCTGTTATTTGGCTGCGTCGCTGAGAAATTCGTTAGGGAAATATGTATACAGGGATCTAGATTCTCCGACTTGGATTAGAGTTGCGGCGTTAAGGAAACGGATGATCGGTTTAAAGGGGTAATCCCTTGGGTGCGATGTGAATGCGTTTGGGTTGGTATCTAGAGAGAGCGAGAAAAAGATTTATGCTAAAGAGCTTGGGACGAAATTCCAGAGAGGGGGGTCGTTATTGAGCTGCAATCAAAGAACCCAAAAGATTTCTTGCTCGTCCAGGAGTATACTATCCATTTACTCCCTCGACTAAATCACATGTTAGGTATATTTTTGAGATCCCAAATTTTATGTATTAGAAAAAATACTGCCTTAATAGAGAACATCTAAATTTTGAAGGGCTTGATTGAAGTGTCATTAAACTCAAAATTCAATTTTTTAAAGAAAAAATAATTATCTCGTAATCTTTATGTGATTCTGAAAATTTTAGACCCAAAAAACTTCCTAAATATGTTTTCGAGGGAGTAGACTCATAATATGCTCCTATAAGGGTGGCATTTGACAGGGCTTGGGCCCGACCAGCTTTAGCCTTGGCGTGGCTCTTGTCATCATCGGGGGTTAGAGCCTATTAGGGCCAAAAACAAATAAAAAAATAATAAAAAAAGAAAAGAAACAATAAGCTACGCTGGGCTGAACCAGGCCAGCATTAGCCCCTAACCCAACCATGATAGGTTGGTAGAGAGAGGTGACTTGATTGGAGAGAGAAATATTTGAGTAGGCAAAGAGAGAGAGCAGATAGAGAGGTGGCTATATAATATTTGTCAAAAAATAAATAAAAAGTTTGAGAGATGGCTATGTTGGAGATGGCAAAGAGAGATTTTTCACTGGAGAGCGAAGTAAACAAGGAATATTATTAATTGAAAAGATCGGGAAAGAGATGACATACTCAATGATATTGAGAAGTTTGTTATGCATATTACTTAGTGTTTTTCATTTGGGCCAGCACTAATACAGAGTATCTCCCTAACACTCTCTCTAGGAAAATCTCATTAGAACTCTTTTTGAGAGGTCCCGATTGCATCTTTTACTTTGGTAAAATTATTCAGTAATTAATAGATTATTTATTCAAATAAATTAAATCTCATCAATAGTTGACAATTTTTGAGTTTGAATTCCCACTCTATCCACAAATTACTAGTATGATACAAGTTTGCTAAAAGTTTATATATATAACGTTGTATTGATAGAAATATTACGAAGAAATAATAGCTATCTATCGTCTATTTTTATTTCTATCTATACTACATTATTAAGCTACAGGTAAGGGGTGGACACAAGTTGAAAAAATAAAAAATAATCCTATTTTTTGAGATTATGGAGACATGTTAAAAAAATAAAATATAACCTTATTAAAAAATAACCCTATTCCTCAATATTATAGAGACATGTTAAAAAAATAAAAAATAACCTTATTTGTTGAGATGATGTAGAGCAAGTGACTTTAGATAAGAGTTAAAGATGAAAATGGGTATCATGTGAGGAAATCGAGATAAGTATTAGGAGAGACAGCAATTAAAAAATCGAGATAATAATTAAAGCGAATATTGGAGCAAGTGACTTTAAATAGGAGTTAAAGATGAAAATAGGTATCATGTGAGGAAATCGAGATAAGCATTAGGAGAGACGGCGATTAGAAAATCGCGATAATAATTAAAGCAAATATTGGAGCAAGTAATTTTAAATAACCTTATTTATTGAGATAATGTACGGCAAGTGACTTTAGATAGGAGTTAAAGATGAAAATAGGTATCATGTGAGAAAATCGAGATAAGTATTAGGAGAGACGGTGATTAGAAAATCAAGATATAATTAAAGCTAAAGCTAATATTGAAGCAAGTAATTTCCTCAAAGATTGCATCTCGATGCCATCAAGAAAGAAAGGGTATTTCCTAATACTATTGCAACATGTAGAGAGAGTCATCGCAATCATTTTTTTCATCTAGAAAGAAAGAAAGGGCTTTTACGCAAACGGTTGGATCTCCTTACCAACCTAATGAGTGATTTATTGCTATCATTTTGATCGAATGAGTGATTTATCGCTACCATTTTTATCGAAATAATTATTAGAGCTACCATTTTGATCAAAATAATTATTAGAGCGAATATTGTAGCGAGTAATTTTAGAGACACCACCATTTTTATAGATATATGAAAATAAAGATTACCAAATATTAAAGTCCTAGAGTTATGGCTTTTCCTCAAAGGCTTGCATCTCACTGCCATCTAGAGATAAAGAAAGTGTTTTTCAAATAGTTCCATCTCGTTACCAATGTAGAGATGCTTACTAAAAAGTGTCTTTCAAATGGTTCCATCTCGTGACCAATCTAGAGATGCTTACCATGTAGAGACATTCTAGAGATGCTTACCATTTAGAGAGAAAGAAATGATGTTTCATCAAACTATCACATCTTCTTACCAGCCTAAACTATTGTATCTCCTTACTAATCTGGAGAGAGCCATCATTACTATTTTGTTATAAAATATTTATCTATACTACAGTATTAAGCAAGAGTTAAAGAGTGGACACTTATGGTAAGAATAAGGAGGGATCCTAATGCTATAGAGGTTATAGGATAGGTGACCCTATTGTGTAAGTCGCATTCCCCCTCTTTAGGAGAGAGATTTCGTCGTCATCCTTTAGAGAGAGAGAGAGAGGTAAGTACGTAGATTCTTTTATAGATTTGGATTATCTTGTCATTTTTAAGCAAAGCAAATCACATAATAGGGCAGATAATTGGGATATTTTAGGAGAAAGATGAGAGGGAGACTCACGTATGGAATAATATGAGAGACTCACAAAAGTATCTAACATTATCCTAGAGAAAATATAATATGAGATATTTACAAAGTATCTAACATTATCCTAGAGAAAATTAAGGGGATTTGACAGTTGATAGAAATTGAGAAATTTTTGAAGTAAATCTGACTTCTCTCTCTCCCTCAACCCCACGATATCCTCTATCTTTTTGTCTCTTCTCCACGACCTCTCTCTCTCCTTCACGACCTCCTCTCTCTCTTTCTCCTCTTTCTCTCTCCATGACTTCATCTCTCTATCTCTACCTTTATTTTCTTCTCTTTTTATTTTTTATTTTTTTATTTGTTTATTCCTACAAGATTTGTATTTTGTATTTATGATTTTTTGGTTGATGAGTGGTGTTCAACTTATTCTAAATATTTGAACATATGAGGTAAATTGAGTCAGAAGCTAACAAGTTATAATCGTAACTACCCAAAAAAAGAGATAAAGAAACAAGGTATATTTCAACTCCATGAGCATGCTTTATGTTAATGTTCGTTAGTTTTTTTTTTTTAGTTTTCAATTTGAGGTTCTAGCGATATTAATAATAATTAATAATTATAAGTATGATTATAAAATTATTATCATAATATTTTGTTCTTTGTAAGGTATCATGTATTCTTTAGAGATGGTGGGGCAAATTTAAAAGACGTTGGTACTTAATGGCCAATTAAAAAAAAAATTGTTAGAGGATATCAATGGATTCGGAAGACATAAAAAGAGGTGGAGGAGATCAAACAGATTAGAGAGTCAAAACATGACTCGGCATAGAGACAGATCAAAGGGCAAAATACGATTCGATAGAGAGACAGATCAGAGAGTCAAAACATGACTCGACAGAGAGGACAGATCAGATAGCCGAAACACGACTCAACAGAGAACTTAGATCTGAGGTGTGAGCTTAGATGATGAATGGACACAATAAAGATGAATCTGGCTCTGATACCATGTGAAAAGTCTCAGGTTTCTCAGAAGAGACTCAATGTCCATTAATTGTATAAATATACAAACTTATCTTTTATAGACAAATTTCAGATGAGAAAATATAGAAATAAATCACAGTTTACAATATACACTGTCCATATTAACCTAATATACAATATATACTTTCCTTTCACAATTATTACTCGGTGGGTTTGTACTCAAAATTAGCCAGTTGAGTACTAGTCATGTGAGGGGGTCCAAGCCCTAGAGTGGACCTCCAAATGGGGGTTAAAGGGTTCCAAGTTGAACCAACCAATAATTCTAACGCTGGTTGTGCCCAAAAAAATTGTCATGAGATGAACATAGATCGTCCAATTATTGGATAATCAAGTCTAAATGTTCGGTAACACAAAATCCAATATTCTATATGAACACAAACATGGTGATAATGTCCCATAATGCAAAATCCAATATTCTATATGAACACAAACATGGTGATTCTAAAAGTGGAAAGAGTTTATAAGGTTGCAATCTTAAAATATAGAATTAAAGATGCATCTCAAAATCCATCGAGAAAAAGGTGTTTTAATGTTGAAAAGCCCTCTAATTGTTCATCTTGACATCGAGATGTATGAATATGAAAGAAAAAAAGGATTTTGAGTCCCATAACTAGTTCAGCTTGCAACACATTATCTAGATCGTCCATTTTCAAGATTTTCATATGTTTATAGATCTACTTGATTTTAACTATTTTTGGAGTTTAAAATTTACTAGTAGGATTACATGCATTGCACGTAGAAATGGAATAAGCGATCATATAAATAATCGCATAAATATGCAACAAAATGCACATCGTTTTTTAGTTAGACTCATCTCTAACCTCCAAACCTTTTGTCTCTACCTATATCTCTCACCAATTTACTTTGCATAAAATAATACCAAAGTATTAGTCATGGAGCATTTAGTGATTATAAAAATTCATGCTTTGATAATTAGAAATTGGTTATAAACTATTTAAAATATCTAAAATTTGCTAAAAAATAATTTTCAAGTTTTGTATTTTAAATGTTCTCAAAAAAAAAAAAAAAATCATAAATGAAATTTCAAAGCATTAAAAATTTAAATGCAAATATATAAAAATCTAATACTAGAAATTTCAATTTATTTGAGATACATTAAATTTCTACGTCTAATTTCAAATTTTAAGAAAAGATTGGCTTGTAAGGATAATATAAGCATAGAATCAATAAATAATGCAATCGCCCATCAAAATAAAACATACATGTGTAACATACAATATTAAGCTTTTATATGCTTTGAAAATCTCTTAAATCAATTATAAATGTAATTTAAAAACCATTGAAAAGTTGGAATTAAAAAAAGTAAAAAAGTAAAAAATTGGTATCATTTAAAATATTTGAAAATGTTA